ACTGGAGCACTACATCTCCTAATTTCCAAATCCTAACGTTATTTGTTGCCGGCTGCTGCTCCTCCAGATTCTTATTCTCTGCTGAACTGGTGCGTTTTTTAGGCTTCTTGTGTTCTGCTTGAATGTTCTGTGGTTGATTCCTCCACTTTGTTTGATTTTTTTTTTCTTTTGGATTTCTAGATTTTAATCTATATTGCTTCCGCCTCTTAAATTCTACATGTTTTTTTTTTTTTTGGTTTTTTACTTTCCGCGGAATGGTTTTAGGTGGAAATGAAGGGTTTATGTTGGAAATGCTCGATTGGAACCGACGAAATATTTTAATTTCATAGTTTTCGCTATTTGAGCTTCGGCCTTTACTTTTTTGCTGCTTACTTTTTTAGTTTTAATCAGGGCTCCTTCTTTTCTGTAAAATATTCACCATTTCTTTTTAGATTGATTGTGGCAGACAAAAAGAATTTTTATGAACGACTTACTTGATCTGGTGATTTTCGATAGTTTTTGCTAATTAGGGTTTTCTACTAAAGCATTTTGTAGCTCGAGGCGCTGATAGTGAAGGTTAGCGAGGATTTTATTTTGTTTGCCAGTTATCTAAACGCTGATTGCTTTTTGATATTTTTCTTTCTCAATTTCTTACTAGATTTATTAAAATTTTTTTTAGCTATATTCGCGAGAAAATAGTAACCTATAATCTCAGTCAATTTTCCATGCTTCGTGAAGCTTAAGGAGGTCGTTTGAGACAGAACTACCATGTTTTTTCGGTTATCGTTATAATAAATATAATAGTATTATTATTATTATTATTATTATTACTACTACTAGTTTTACTGCTATATTCCTATCAAACAAGAGTTCATAAAAAAATGTTTTGTGGTGATAGAGCTTGACTTCTCTTTCTCTTGCCTTATCTGATTGGTGTTTTCGGTCATTTTGGTGCTCTGATTTTTTAAATAAAGTAGGATGGTTAATTCGTTTTGTTAGAGCTCTTGTTTCTTAGGTAGACTTAGAAATTCAAGTAGTAGTTATATATATATCTCTAAATTTTAGAGGCCAAAATAACATATGCACCAGGTAAGAGTCAAAACTTTGATCTCGATTGTAAACTAGAAGTTTGATAACCGCTGGGCCAAAGCTGTTTTGGTTCATAATAGTTGTATATCATTTGATATTAAGAGGAACATAAAATTGAATTATAAACCACTGATATAACATAAAAGAAAACACTGGTGGATTTATTTAATAATAAAAAAAAAGAAAACACTAGTGGATAGAGGGCCTACTAAGAATCTAACAGGAAAAGGGGAAAAGAATCACTAAATTTAATCTCATTTTTATTAGCAGGATTATTTTTGGCTGAAAGACTATTCCATGTAAAATTAAGTGGTTATCAGCAATGGAAAGGGTTGCAGAATTCAATACAATTCCTGGGAAGTTTCCCATTGTGGCTCAGATTTCAAGTCCCTGCACAACCTTGGGGAGGGAAATGGGTCATGTTCCGAATGTGCATAAAGGTCCATTGAGAGAAGAGGTGAGTCAATCAAGTGCTAAAGACTCCAGAAGTTCAGTCTCACCTGCACCTGTAAGATCATGGAAAGGGAAAGACTCTTTACCAGGACATGAAGAGCTCATGCCAGATGTTGTTACATTCAAGGGCAGTGGTGACTTGGTCGAGGAAGGTTGCCCAAGTTCTTTCTCTGGGGCTAGTCATCCTGCAGAACCTGTCGATACAGATCTGATGAGTACTGTCTATGTACGAATAAGCCAAAATAAATGCTCAAATCCCAACAATTTTGTAGAAAGAGTAGAGATAAGACTATACCTTCTTGAAAGCGCATCAGCTACCACATTTTCTTTTCATAGCTTATATTGGATTACATATGGGAAGGACTTCATGAATTCTACCTATTTTGCATGTCGTTTATTAAACTTGCCTTGCCCTTTCAAATGCCTCAAAGATTCATGATCGGTGTGA